GCAACCCAGGCGCTAGTACGCTTGCGTAGTGCCTTTGCTTTTGCAAGTCTGACCGAATATTTCAGTATCTTCATTGTCTTCTCAGTCTAGTCTTGAATGACTGAAAAGGTGTTCATCAAAAATATAGCGGGTAATATGCTTCACTGATGATTCTCACTCCTGTCCGCACACAGTTTTATAGTTAGGGGAAAATAATATTTAGACTGATCCTTTGCTCCTTTTAATATTTTACAGTGAACAAGGAAAAACTTGCCAAATTGAAAAAAGCTGTAATTGCGACCAATATCCCGTTTCGAGTTTGCAGCTCTTTGAACTTCTTTGTGGCATAAATCACATTCAAATTACCGAATATTCCGAGGGTCAATATCGATACCATTAGAGTTCCTATTATTAGTGGTGCTATCATTTTCTGAAAAGTAATTTTTTGCTGAAAAATGCTTCTGAAACTTGGGTTAAATCATGCTTGCTTCTACCAGGTACATGCGCTAACATTGAAAAGCTATATGAGATGAGAAACTTCCTCTTCCTCCTGTCAAGTTCCCCTTCTGCCTTGGTGCTTTAAAAAAATGTATCTTATTCCTTCTAACAGTATCATCGAAGGAGCTGTAACAGTTTAACACTTGCTTTGGTAGAATGCCTTCGGTTCAAAGCATCAGTTTCTCTTATTCCATTCCTTTAGTTTTCCAATGTTTTGACCAAAGCTGCATCGCACGATGGTCAGCATTCCGGTAATCGCTCTGCATTTTCTGCCAGTATGAGTTGATCCGCCACTTTAAAATGCCGCTGGTCTATATTGAGCGACACCACTGGTTCGGGACTTACCAGTCGTAGAATATGGTTATATAACCAGACCACTAAGAGCGTAAAACAGTAAACAAAAATATGATCTAAGAATAATAAAAAGCAAGTAATTTCTGCACTGCTGACAAACTATTTTACGCTTTCTTGGCAGTGAAGCAAGCGCCTGCCGTCCCCATCGAATGAGTGAATTTTGTAAGTGAATGATGAGAATAGAAATTACTTCACAAGCACGCAAGGGCAAGAAAAAAGCTGAAAATGTGTCATTGTTCCAAATTTCTGTAACTGAATGCTGGGATATAATTGCGTCTGTAAAATTTAAAAGGTAATAATTATGTCAAAGAAATTTGAGCCATTATTAAACATAATTCTTTTACAGGCACAACAAATTATAGCTGTTTTCGAGACGTTATACATATGCACATGCTAATTTATTGAGTTTTATACATACAAATTCGCCCGTTATAGCTGCGATTTCTTCCTATCATTGTGCATATAATTATTCGTGCATTCGGGGTTTTTTTAGTTTTATTTGCTTTAGTAATTAGCTACTTTTGCTTTTATGCAATGAGGAAAATTGAGCGGCGCCGCCATACAAATTTGTGAAAGTCGGCTGCGCATAATCAGAATTTTTTGGAAAACTTATTTTAGTAGGAATTCAGAAAAATGCGTAAAGATTTTCTCATATCCAAGCATGGATGCCGCAGAGGGTTTGACTTTGTCAACCAGCCTTTCTATAAGTTGTTCATTCAATTTGATAGCAATGATGTGCCGGCTTAAGCCAGAGAGTTAAATGCTGTACCAACCTAATCACAAGGGAATTACGGCGCTTTATAACTAGATATTAAGTTTATGCCTGATCAAGCATTTACCTTCTTTCTCCCCTCCCTTTCCGCTCTCCTAAAGGAAAGCAGAATAAATGTTATTTCGTTTGGCGAGTGGCGTTAAACTAACCAGCAAACGGCCAAATTTCATCATACAAATGTCAAAATTGAAAAAATTCCTGTGCGTCAATAACGAAAAAATTCTCTATCATGATCCAGTGGTCAAGCTGCAGCTGATCAGAGGTCATGATGTACGAAGTGGAATAAACAAGTGTTCTACAGCCATTTGTGGCACGCTGATTGACGAGCGTTGGAGATTCTGCCTTTCTGCCATCTACATAAAAAAATTTTTAATTACGTATGTGTTTGTGTGGTTTCCCGTTGTCATAATTTACAAACAGATAAAACACGAAAATACACTGTGGAAAAAACACATTTATACAATTTATGCGCCTCCAGCAACTATTTTTGCGGACATGAACGAGCGATTCCAGTGATATGTTACAGCAAATTAGCACCAGACCTTGATAGTCAGTGTGCGAGCGTCAAACACTTCCTCACATCAGTATTCATGTGAGGAAGTGTTTGATGCTCGCTAACACACTTTCCAATAGACGCTCGATAGAACTGTTTCATATTTTCGACAATTGAGTCGCATCATAGTTCAGCGATTTTTCCGGACTGCTGTTTTATCCAAGACGAGAGCTAGGCCTGCTGCTGAATTTAACTGCACGTTATAAACGCTTTTATTAAGACTAGTGATTTATGCCCTAGAAGTAGATAAGTATGTTAAGCCAAAATCAAAAAAAACGTGAGCCCATCAGTCACGAATGGTATAATCGTAGAATTCTTTTAATTTCGCTTCGAGATAGAGGAACACAACTGCTCGCTGGAAACAGCTAGAATTATAAGCTTACAGTTTGCTCATACTGCCTTGTTAGCTCAACAAGTAAAATGGAAAAAAAAAACTGAGAATTGTCTACAGAAAAATGGGAAGAACGATGTTTTACTAAAGGTTTCTTACTTAGTAAATATTTTCATCTGCTTGTCCCAGGAGTAAAATATGGCGATCGGCACGCTGTAGCAAAAATAAGCGCTTGACAACTAGATCATTGTTTGTTGATGGTTCTCCGCATTTAGAAGCGCTTCGAGTGAACACCGGACATGCTAATTGCCTTTAACTGCACAGATCATGAGCAAATTTATTTTTTTCATGCAAAGCAATTTGAATCGAAAAATTTACTGAATGCATGAATCCTGAAGTTTAGCACGTTTTGCAGCACAAAAAGTAGAGCTCAGTAGTTAAGTGTAAGGGGAGGAAGAGGGAGGGAGTGAAGCACTAGCTGGAAAGGGAAAGGTTACTTGAGGAAAAGAAATCTGTAAAACTCATACATTTCGTTCCATAATCGCTTACTGAGTATTTGCCTGCTTAGAAGCAAGATGCTACTGAAAACCAGAAGCGACGGGATAAAAATGAAAATAGAAGGGACGGAAGAGTTGAGGAGCTAAAAATAATGGGTCTTTTAAACCGTAAGACAAATTTGTAAGTTGTGTCTGCAGAGAAAATATCGATGTTGTAAAAACCGTTAAATTTTTGCCAAATAATTAAGCTGCGACATAAATAAGCATCAAATTCTCGGCGGACATTCAGTACCGAAGCAACACATCATTTTTTGATCAATCGGCATTTTTTGGTTAAGCTGAGTTTCTTTTGCACTCATTTACCACAACACGTTCCACATAGAGCCGTCGGGGGACGGCTGTTTGCTACACCAGTCCTATCAGCTCCTCTACAAACTCTGTTGACTTCGGATCATTGTCGAGGTCTACTAGTACATTTCTCTCTCCTCAGAATCAACTCTTGGGGGCCACTGCTACATCCCTCCTTCGTCAAGAACAGGACTTAGCGGATATCGTAACATTCTAAGCTACTCACAGTTGGGTCTTAGCGGAACACCGCTACAACACTTTTAGCTGGGACTGCAAGGCAACAAAATTCTAAACACTGAATTTTATGAAATTAATTCTTTCACATCTGCAGGAACATCTAAAAATCACGGAAGACAATCGCCCTATCAAACACGCAATTATATATATCCATCAATAGATCTCAAGTCTTTTTAACAAATAACTGAAATAGAGAAGGCACTTGTTTAGGTAACTCTTCTTTGATGCCGTTGCTTTGCCACGCTTGCCGAATTTGCTTTTTAGTCGATTTTCCTCCACAAAGCTGCCGCAGAAAAGCATTTCGATACTGCCGACTACGCCAGAATAATATGTAGTAATTATTACCATAGCTAGTCAGTACCAGGAGATTACTGAATGCCATTATGTTGGCCTGAAAAAATCGAAAGCTGCAGAATGACATTCTTTCGTAAACAGTTCTGCTCATATCTATTATGAGTTTGACTACGATTTATTAAAATGGGTTCAGAAGACTATAGAACCAGTAACCAGTAACCCATTATTCGCCAGAATAATCAGCACCTTGGATGTGAGTGCGGCTCTATAAGGCACCTTCATCCTAACTGACGCCCTTCCTCCTGCACGCCGGAAAGGATCAAAGCACGATCAATATGACCCAAGTGTTAGGCTACAGCATAGAGATCATTCTTGCTAATAGCAATCTGCGAGTTTAGTGCAAAAACGCATGAAAGCACCGGAGAGCCTGGTGCGTTCCAGCATGGATTTGTATGAAGTCCGGTCGTTTTTCGATAAATGCTTGTGAAAAAATAACAAATGCAAATTTTTTAAAAAAATCCAAGTTTCCAGTCCACTAAAAAGTGGAAGTATTGCTCGAGCGGTCGCTTGTCAAAAAATCCATGTTCACTTACGCATACGATTACGGTTCAGGTCCGAGTTGCCAACGATTTTTGGGTTGAGGAGCTGCTTGAGGCTGTGGTTGGGGTGCACGACAGCTGAGTTTGAATTCTTTAGCTCGCGCGCGTATAGAGAATATCCATGCTAAGTTTCACCTTTCTACTTCACCTGGTTTGCGAAACCGTTTCCTGCCAACTTATTTTTTTGGGGGTCTCGTACGTGGGGTCTGGGCACGTATGGGAAAGATCTTAAAATGGGGGATG